AACCAAGACAGATTACTTGCACTAAGGCTTTGTAATACTTTCAACATGAAGTCATCTCTGCAAATCACATCTGATTATTATCAGAATTCTAATTACAGGGCTGCTAACACATGGTTCACCTAGCTCCATCAAGTCTACCAAGTAGCATCTTTAATTCATCGGTGCAATTCCAAATATTTGCAAATAATACAGGATGACCTATCTAAAATGAACGTCAAACTGCTGAAAAGCTCTTAGCTAACATTCCTGACACCTCCACACCCCACCCCAATTCTCACTTAAAGGGTAGAGTTGACACCTTGAAAATTTCAACACTGAAGCAGGAAGTAATTTTTAAGAAAGAAAGTCTGTAAAGTGACTTTTCCTGTATCGACACAATCCACCAGGGAGGGAGAAGACTATTTTCAATCGACACTAATCCCAGTCTTATTTAAGAAGAGAAATTGTACCATTTTCTATCTTTATCTGACTAAGCCAAACAAGTAAAGCTTTTCCAGTTTCCTCCCCAAGGTTCTCCACTCCCTATGCATCCTTATAGCCCTTTTCTTGTATTATGAAACTCACCTTCCTTGAACATGATGAGAACTGCTCACAGTGTGTCAGATGAGATCATCTCTCAGCCTTGCACAATGCAATCAATATGTTCCTATTTCTCCTGGAAGCACCTTGTGTGATACAGCCCAGGTTGACACTTGCTTTCTTCACTTCTCAAACCTGTTTCATGCCCCAATTCAACATCAAGTCTGCGAATTCTGCAATGAAATTCAACACTTCCTATTCCTATCTGAAGTTTTACAATGTTGGGGCCGGGGATTGTTTGAGATTTTTTCCACCCGGGGCAACACGGTTAGAATAAGAAATCAAATTTCCTAGTTTAAATAAGCTGTTAAAAGAAACTGAATTATATTCCTTCTGATACCTGATAATCATAAGCTCCATGCACTAGTCCTGATGAAAGCGTTACTAAAAAGCTTAGCATACCAGACTTTGGATCTTCAGCGATAGTTTTTTAAGCACTTAAATTCTATAATAGTACAAACCTCTCTGACTGCTAGATGCTTGTTTAATTTTCTACTCTTCCTTGGAAGTTCAGTGGTGGAAAGGATTCCAGTTTAGATCTTTCCTCAAAAGGCCATAAAGTACAAGAGAAACCAAAGGACAAGAGAAGGGGACATGCTAGAACTGATTAAACACATATATTCCAGGAGAAAAATGACATCAAATGACTGTATGTTAGTGCAGCAGATTTTAGACTGTCACAAGTGCAAACAATTTCCTCTTCCTTTATAACTGCTAGATCACTTCATGAAGTTCACGTAAAATAGAGCACTGGTCATCTACCTCAAGCACACACCGCAAGACATTCTATTTATTAAAGTAACAACTGTGAAGCTTTTTCAAGAGCATTTTCACATTTTGATGCTGGCTGGTTAAGACATCACCCCACCACTCATGTATTCAAGCTACCTGCACATCAGGCTGGAGCAAAATGAGCAAGATCAACCGAAGGATATGAAGCTTAACATGTTTCCAGCTTAATAATCCTGCACATTTACTTCTGCATGATGGTGCCTGTTAAGACTCCAGTCTTTATAAACAACATTTCATCTCAGATGAGATGAAGAATAAAGAGCTGGATATATTGTCACAGCCCTCATCAATCAACTTTCAAAATGCCAAAGACTACATTTAAGGCATTGATTTCTTACAGACTGCTATGTTCCCTAGTTTTTTCTAAAAAGCAATGTGGCATTAAATCCCTTGAAAATACAAGTGGCATTTCAACCCAGGTTCTTCCCCATTTCAGAAATATTACATTGCAAGGAATTGTCAGGCTCCTTTCCCTGGATTTGAGGAACTGCTAATTTAAGTCTGTGAACCAAAGGGCTCAATTTTATTGGAAAGTTAACATGGTCTCATCTAGAACATCTTTATATGTTGTGTCAAAACTAAATGCACCTCCATTTTCACTTTTGCCAGGCTTCTTTTAACAGGCTTGCTTTTGATTCTCTGAGCCCTTCCCTTTAATGGGCTAAAAGCTAACTCAGTGGTCTGATCCATATGAGCATATGGGCTTAAAGCAAAGGCCTGAAGTTGAAGATGCATTTTGGATTTGGTAAGGCCATTTATCTTTTGCTGGCCTAATTCAGTAAGGTGGGCATGTCTGCTGAAAACAGATTTCACAGTCTTGGAAGCTCAGGTCTGAAACCTCCTACAGGGAAACCATAAATAACAGGAATGGCAATAAACACCTCACTCAGCAGAAACAAACCAAACCAAAGACCAAGCAAAAATACCTTCACAAAATGTCCCCTTCATTTGAGTTGACTCTCTGAAGGGACACTGCTCAACTGTGACTGGAGCATGGTATGAATCCCAGGCACTTCAAATCTTTCTGCCCAGAGAGGGAAGGAGTTAAGAAAAGTGATTGTGGTGCTTTGCACAGTAGAAACTATGGGTGCTTACAGCAGACATGCACTTCAAGTCTCACTGGAGCCTTGGTTAACAGGATGCTGCACTGCACTGACGTAGTCCCCAGCCAGGCAATGCCTTTCCAAAGTTTCTGGTTCATACCTCGTTCATTCCTGGTGATGGAACAGCTCCCTGCACTTGAGACAGTTTTTCCCTTTATCACTGCCTTCAAGGTACCTTGTCCTTAAATTTCCACCAGGCAATGTCAAGACCTTTACAAGCTGTCCCTACCAGAGCCAGCCCTCTCACCTCTAATGAGACAGGTTTAAAGCCATAGGACCTGCCCTCAGCAAGCCCATCCTTCCCTCAGGGTGGAACAAAACCATGCTGATGACTTCTGCACACCACATTCTGCAGAAGGTTTTGCCACTAGTTGACAGGCACATCTGATAAAAACACATTCTGTGTCATAGAAACAAAGTAGTTGCCATAAAGGTCAAAAAGCTACATGGCATCCATAAAAAAAACCTCAAAATCCCTAAAACCCAAAATTGTTGGGCACACATGGTGACACGAATGACTGAATCACAATTTATGAGTCTTAAATGCATCAGATAAGGTACAACATGCTTGTGTGTAAAAGTGATTTTCTTGTTAGTCTGTCAAATGCACTAGACTTGCTTCTTAGAGGATAATGATTTAACACCTATTCATAATCTTAAATAGCTGAAATATATTGGGAGACATGATGTCATGTATGTATGGCTGCAAAAGTTATTTATTTGCCAAATATTAAGGGATGTATTTCTGGACATCTTAACTACATACTAGAGAAGCCCATTACATTTACTTTTTTGCTGCAAACTGATAAAGAAAGAAAACCACCACCAACAAACCGAAACAAATAAAATCCATACACACATTGTTCTGGAATACGTGTTCAAAATAATGAGCTATTCCCATAGAGGAGTTTATAGGTATGAAACAAGCCATACACTGCAATTTGCTGCATGACAAACCAATTACTGATATTAATGCCTGCCTGGACAAAAGTTGCTTCACTACTCAGAATATAAAAGTAATATTTATTATATTTGAACAAGTGGGGGGTTTTGCCCCCACAGGTGTGTGCCAGCTTAGATTGAGACATTTTACATTTCATCTCGTATTGTAAAAAGTGTTCTGTTTTCAAAATTATTGGCAGCATGGGATTTCTATGGCAACAAAAGCTACAAATAATAATGCATTTATATTTGTTGTTTGGGCAAAGCATGAGAGACTAAGTAACCCACTCTGAAATACATTTTAAGAACAGTGTATCTAGGAACCACATTTGCCTTTAAGGGTACACAGTAAACTTCAAAAGCACATCCCCTTTGACAATGCTGGAAATCTAATAAGAAATGCTAAAGATCTTTTCATTCAAAGTTTTTTTGAAAGGAGCTTAGGTGGCTTTCATCTTCCCTTTTGCTTTCACAGAAAGGATAAGCCCAACTTTTGATGTGTGACTAGTAATTTTTGGATACTTACCTTCAGATATTTTGTAAGATATCATTTTTGAGATGTTTAGTACCTTGTGCACAAAAAAATAATCTTTTTTTTAAGGCACTGAAACTAGACAGAAAATCATGGGCTCTTTCTGAGAATTTAGCTCTGTTCCCCAGCTTTTACCTATTCTACTTGTTTCCTGTTCCCTGTTACTCACCATCCCCTATCACGTGACTCTTGAAAGTCTCTCCCTGCCACCCAAAACACACATCCTCCATGGATAAGGACTTCATGTAGTCTTCATCCTGCTTAATTCCTACTTTTCCCCAGTCATACTTTTAGCGCTGATTAACATTTCCCTTCAAACTCATCTTGTACCTCCTCTTTTTTTTTTTTTTGACAGTGAAGACAACACCTCTTGCCATAAGTAAATCACTCCCTTCCAAAACAAAGCTCATTCAGGTACAAATAACTGTAATTGCTGAAGAAAGGCACCTGAATCAACTACCTTCAATCACATGTTCAATTAATGCTTTCCCCTTCAAGGAAACACTTGGGTAAATGTATTTCCTCTTGAGAGAAAACAGTCACACCAACGTGGAAGCCACACAGGTTCTACATTTAGGAGCAAATATGGATCCAGCCAACACATTGCAAAGAAATTCTGGATAAAGTGAGAAATAGGATGGAAAGTGAAGCTAAGCTGTTTTGCTCCCTGAAGTTAAGGAATGCACAAATGTGTCTACTCAGATCTGCAGTAACTACTGTTATGTAGGCACTCCTTTTTTTCCTTAGCTTATTCTCTTTCCTGTTAAGAACCACTGTAATTCAGATTGTGTGTCAATTACAAACCACCACACTCAGTTATGAGTTATTGAGGACCAATAAATTTACAGAAGTACTTCTGAGTTTTGATAGAATCCAGGAAACCTTTTTTCTGGCAACACCGACAATGAACAAAAGATATTTGCCCTGGGACATTTTGCCAAGGAAAGACTAAAAAAACACTTCTGGCTGCAGGCAGTGAGAGTGTAGCACACTGTATAGTAGGACTATTACTCACTGAGTATAGTCAGTGATAGTCTGAAAAGTGAACATACCTCAGACAAATGGTAGGGTACCAGGGACTGAAGCTCACCAACAGTTTGTAGGGAAGTTAAAACATCAGTCACTTGATAAGTCTGTTATCAGAAGAAAAACACTTTAATGGTTGCACTGTTAAAGGAAGGAAAAGGGAAATACTGGCTACCAAAATGAGGATAAAAGAATTTACTGTCCCAGCTCATGCACACATTATGCTTTTCATAATATCCTTTATTTTCTCTTTCATTTTTACCCTTTACTAGCGGCCAAAGATTTGTGTACATGGCAAAACTAAATCACTGCTGACAAATGGGTGATGCCAAATGGGATTTCCTTTGTCTACACTTGTAACGAGAGACATACCCTGCTCTAGTTCAGCTGCACCCCTCGTTGTCAACAACTGTCACCGGTGGTTCAATTTAGTTCATCGAGCAGATCCCAAACAATTTGGAAAGAACAATTTAAGCCAACTGGGTCCCACCCAGCTGCTCCAGAACACACATGCAGAACAGCCAATGCAATTTAAAAATTATTAGCGAAACGAACACTAAAAACCAGCGGATCTGGCAGAGGGATTGAAAGCATCTGAAGTTACTTAAATGTTGCGGCCGAAAAAAAAAAACAAAACATCTGATTTATCAGTTCCCTGCATTACAGAGTCACCCATTTCTCCATCACTTTGTCAGAGGAGTCTGTTGTAAAGAAGCCAGTGACAATATCAGTATCATAATTTTATTTATTTTAGATGAAAAATAAGCACAAGCTTTACAAACTGGAAGAAAACCACCATAGCTAATTCGAAAGGGACTCTGCCGCTTGCCCTGTAGAAGGCAAGCCCAATTAATGCAGATTGTACTGGTGGAGTCTACAACGACTTTAAATCATGTCAATATTCCCTCTCTCACTTTAAAAGCCAAAAGAATTACAGTCTGCTTGGATTAACACAGCACACTGTCATTAGGCTGGCAATTAAATCCCATTTCTGAGATTGTGTGATCTGAGTCACCAACATCTGCAAATATCTTTACATCTTGTGTAATAGCTGGCCTCAGATCTTGATATACCAAAAAGGCCATTTTAATGGCTCCTACATTACTTTGGACTGAAAACTTCACGATGACAGCAGCTTCTCAAAACAGCCCATAAATCAAATTTATTATTCATTTTGTCATGTGGGGTTTTCTTAACTCTAAGCCAATAGAGCAACAACAAATCAAGGTCAGTGTTTATACTGCATGAATAAAAATTAACCATGTGTTCAAACTTTTTTTACTCTGAAAGGTATTTGGTCTCAAGAACTTTTGACATATGCAGCATTCACCAATTCTTCTACACATCTGGGAGTATCTGAGAAAACACTCTCAAACAACATCTCCTCTCATGCCAGCCTGTCTTGACTTAAAAAAAAACAAAACAAAAACCTGTCAGCCATCCTACTGCTTTCAGCATCAGTAATCACATATGAGAAGGACAATTCAATTGCAGGATGCTCATCCCGGGAATTAATTTAATCCCAAACAGTATAATTCAATATTTAAACAGACCAGTGATTTCCAAATGACGGTTTATTGGTAAAAGCAACAGCACAGGAAGACCTTTTTGCCACACAGATCAGAAACGAGACAGCATGTTATGGGCTTTGAAAACAAGCCTAGCTCTACAAATCCATTGAAGTACTACCTTCACCAGCCATAGATGTTTAGATTACTGTTTCTTTCCTTAAATCAGAGCCTAACCATAAGACATAATAAAATGTATACTATACAGATCTAAATAAGGAATGCTACCTTTAAAAATGTCAGTAATCTTTCATTTCTTCAACAGTTTCTTGCAGCACTTGCCACACCAGAAGAACAGCCACTGTTTACGGCCAGGAATCACAGGGCATGACCAATAAACACACAACCCAACAGCAACCACAACGAAAACCTGGAAACTTCGCTTGAAGTGCACACGTACAAAGTTTCTCTATGGAGGTTGCTTTGAAGCAGACTGCTGCAAGTGACCCACAGCCACCCAGAGCAAGCACCTGCACCCCCAGCATGCAGCCCCAAGCCCTTCCCCACCACAAGAGGACATACAACAGCACCTCCTTAATCCGCTTCACGAGCGCGTTCTGATCGAAGGCGACGGCTTCTGCGCACTGGTGAAGGTGATCCTGGTACCGGAGACACAGCTGCAGCACCTGCTGGGGGTCCAGCTTTTCCAGCTTGGTGTTGGTTGGAGAGGTCTGCCCACTGAGGAGTCCTACAAAGCAAAGGGAGGACCAGAATTAATCTGACTGTTCAGATTAAGTTCAGCTGCGATCCAAGAGACAGCAGAGCAAACCCAGAAGAAAAGATTTATGAGGGGTAGTGAAAAACTAATTCAGAATAATTTATGGATGTTTCCAATTTATAGCAGTGCAAAGAACAGTTTGCCATACAGCCTAGCCCTCCTTGACAGAAACTAAACAGACTCTGAGTGCAGGTCCATAATGCACATCAGCTTGGTTTTCAGGGATACATGAGTCCTGTTTTTTCTCCTCCACAAGCAATCCTAAACTGTGAAAAATGAGTCTTCTCCTAATTTATGTATGCCAGAAGAGGAAGGAGTTGAGATCTGCATTTCCCTAAGGGCACTGGACTCAAACTATTTTCATAGAATCACACTGTCAAAACTAGAGCTCTAAAAATTCACTGGTCCCCCAAAACAAACCTGAATGAAAAAACGATCCACCTTAAGTTAATTTACTAGGTGAAATGTCTGTATTTTGTCCATCTTGCCTTTTTTAAAGCTTCAGAACTCTTTCACCTTCTAAGATTTTTCTTTACAATCTCGAAGACTAACAATGAACTTTTTTGTTTGTTTGTTTAATATGGAATTAAGATCCTTACCTACTTGCATGACCAGGTTCCACAAAAAGGCATTGGACTTAAAAGTGGGTCACTGGTAATATCCAGAGGAGCAGAATTATCCAGAGAAATTTCTCCTGCCCATTGATAGTTGCCTACATAGTGCATCTTGAGAATGTTTGCTGAGCTCAACCACGTGTGTGCCATACTGACTGCTTTCCCCACAGCTGCTGAAAAATGATGCTAAGCTCTAAGGCCATCCTTTTTTTTCTTACTACTTCATTTAGTTACTTTCATTTCATTTTTCTTCAGCATTAGCACAACCTTTTTCTTGTTGGGACACCATCTGTAACAAACTGCACATACACACAAATATGCTTTTCCCAAAACATCCATCAAGCTATGTAAACTGAATCCAGTGACTGCATGCATGTGCCCTCTAGGACTCTCATTTTACAGACCCACAGCAAATGTAAGCAAGTATTAAACTAAGCAATTAAAAAGTAATAAATGCCAGTTATTTGGATTGGAAAAGTTCTTCCAAGAATGTACCTCAGTGGGAAATGGAAAGTAATTTGAATGACCCCCTTGACTATTGGAGGCTACAACTGGTGACATAAATTTCTAGCTAAAACCCAAGAACGATACAGACACCAAGATGTAAGTCAGAAGCATCTTATGAATAGGAGAAACTTAAAACTCTTTGAAAACATTTGAAAACAAAAATGAAAAAAAAACCAAACTAGTGCAGCAACTTCATCGGATACAATGAAGTAGGTTTACTTTTCATCAACACTTAACATCTTATTCTCTCAGGATGCTCAGATACCCTCTGCACAAAATCTTAAGATGAAAAAAAGAAAAAAAGGTAATTTTGTTTTACTAACTTGCCCACTACAACTGTGCTGCCTCAGTCAAGAGATCAGGAGAGTAAACAGACACTTCACCATTTAGTCTCAAACCCATGTATGAGCAACAGTCAAATTATTTTTTATGTTTTGAAAAGAATAATCTCAAACAAAATCTTGGGTTCATCAATATCAGTTGCAAATCTTTCAGCTAAAGTAAAAAGCTTTGATGGGAACAAATCCACTGAAGGAATTAAGACTTTTAAAAAATGTTTATGTTTTGTGTTCTAGTACTTCCTCATTTCATTAATTGTGATCTTCTATAATATGTTGTCAGGATGAATGTCCAAATAATGTTGTCAGCTTTTAATATGCTGAATGTTCACATAGGAATGAAGAGTTCACCATACACCTGAGGCAGTTATCTTGTTTCAGCACTGATCAAATACGTGATGCTATCAACCAACTAATTTTCTTTTATAACTAATCTCTCACCAACTTCAAGAGGAAGAAGAAAATTAAACACTGTTTAGGAGATTTAATTAACTCAAAGTATGTACTTAGGCCAACTGTGCTGGTTTAAGAGTTAACCAGCAGGGGAAATGAACTCAACTCAAAGGAGAGATTATAAGTCAGAATAACAATTTACTAAAATAATACAGTAAGTACAATCATACCAACAAACAATTGGTCTTAACCCACAAAACCCAAATGTATAACCCAGTACCCTGGGGCATGAACAACGTGGTGTTCCTTGGGCCCCGCTTGAGTCCAAAGTAAAGGGAGAGGGGAAGAACCTGCTGGTGGGAGAGCGGTTGCAGTCTGGTCAAAAGTGGTGATTGCAGTGAGATGCCGGGGGAAGAGCTGTTGCAGTCTGGTCAAAAGTGGTGATTGCAGTCCAGTTGAGGGTGGTGGTCTAAGTCTGTTTGAGAGCGATGAGCTGCAGTCTTTCTCTGGATCCCACAGAGTGGTTCCAAAAATGTTCCAAGACTCCAAGATTATATATCCTGCAGTTCAGGCAGGAATGCCCAGCACTTCCCTCAGGGCGGGGAGTTCCACAAAGGGTGTGAGGACAGGAGCATCCTCCTATCTCACAGGCCTCTTAACACCTAGTTTATAGCCTGAGGAGTCAGGCTCTATGGGCAGATGGTGTAAATGGTTCATTGATAACAGTTTCTGGGAAATGGCATGGAAGGCTATAGAATACACAGTTTTGGGTTACACCCATACCATGATGAACTGGTCTCAGTTGTCCTAACTAGGACACCAACTTATGCTGCTTGTGAGAGTTTTGAAGAGGAATAGGCCAAGGACTATAAAATGAGCTAAGAAAGAACATGCTACTTAAACTTATGTACTTAAAACCTTTACAGGTTACATAATGCTAAGAGAAAAATTAATAAACTGTAAGAAGCTTTTAATTCCTTATCCAGAAAAACACAAGCTCAAGTGAAGGGAGACATTCCCTATTCATCTGGAATTCCTTCATAAGAAGGCAGAGGTGGAAATACAATCCAGTACAAATGTTTGGACTAGCAGTAAAAAACAAACGTCATGCTGCTTAAAGATAGACTATGGTATTATTTTGGGAGATGCAGTAAGAAGAAACCAAAGTAACTAGCTTCTCCAAAGATGTCTGGGGTCATGCTGACAATGCCAGAGAACAGTATAGCTTGGTTTCAAATTGAAAGAAAGGAAAAAGTACACCAAACAGCAAAAAAAAACGGCACAAAAAATTTCTGCAGCCTAGCAGAAATTCCTCTAGTCAAAAAGTCAATCCACCATTTTTTGTTGTTCACTGTAACTACTTACTACCCATGCTATAAGCACTAACATTTCTTAACTAACATTCCCCTCCCTTCCACTCTTGTGAGACCCCAGCTGGAGCACTGCATGCAGCTCTGGGGTCCCCAGTACAAGACAGACGTGGATCTGCTGAAGGGAGCTCAGATGAGGGCCACAGAAATGGTCAGAGGGCTGGAGCACCTCTCCTGTGAGGAAAGACCAGGAGAGTTGGGATTGTTCAGCCTGAAAAACAGAAACCTCCAGGGAGACCTTCAATATTTAAAGGGGGCTTGTGAAAAAGAGAGAGGGACTTTTTACCAGGGCCTGGAAGTGACAGGACAAGGGGACAGTAGTTTTAAACTGGAAGAAATTTAGATTGGACATGAGGAAGATGTTTTTTCCAGTGAGGGTGTTGAGGCACTGGAACAGAGAAGTTGGATGTCCAGTCCCTGAAACTGTTCAAGGCAAGGTTGGATGGGGCTTTGAGCAACCTATCTAGTGAAAGATAGTGAAAGGTGTCCCTGCCTGTGACAGAGTGGTTGGACTAGATGATCTTCAAAGGTCCCCTCCAACCAAAACAATTCTATGATTTTATTAATTCACTGTACTTTACTTTTTAGCAAGCCAGGAGCTTTGCTCCAAAAGAGCAGATGGTAACAGTAAGTCAGCTTGAAACCTGATGCAAGAGACAGTGCAACCCCTCAAATCCCAGTGGGGTTTTACCAGGGAAACCCAGGGGATAGAAACGGATGCAGGGCTGGAAAGGACCTCTAGTGCCACAGAATCCAGATCTCTTCCCTTTCTCCTCTGCCCAGCAGCAGGCAGTGAGCCCAAACAGATTTAATGCAATACCTCCTCCATGAGCTCTGCACTTAAGAGACAGCAGTGTACTTCCCTATGCCAACGAAAAACTTGAAACCCACAGGAAAAATCCTGAACTAAAAGCAAGACACAGGAAACAGAAGGGAGTTGAAAAGGGTGTTGATGGTGTCCTTTCTTCCTATATTAACAGAAAGTTGAGGAGATATCTAAGAGGCTCTAGGAATTCAGCACTGAGAAAACTTGATTTTTAGAGGAGAGAGATGGCCAGCACTGCAAACCTTATTTATATGATAATAATATAATGTATTATTAAACAACTGTCCTCTTGAAGATCATTGCTTTCTTCTTCAAGCATTTACCCACATTTTGAGCTCTCCACTGAACAGGGCCATCCCTCAGTGACTGCTTTACAAGCAGCCTGTAAGAGGATATGAGATCACATCTGTTGCAACAAAAATTTATTAGGTGGAGAAACAGAGATCACTGAATGGTCCAGGCTCGCTCCTGGAACATGCAGAACTTGAACCTGGTCACCAGCACATCTCAGAGCAACTAACCATTGAGGTACTACCTCCTCTTCACCAAGGAAAGGGTGTTCCTGTGATTTCTTCTGGGTGATTATCAATCCCTGGCCCTCAAGAGCACAGTTCTTCTCTTAAATGAAAACAGCATCTAAAGCTTTCATTTCTTATTAAATGGAATACTCATTTTTCAAGGTGTTGGGTTTCTTCCAAAGAAACCCCTTCCTTGGGTTTCTTCCAAGGAAGTACACCAGGAATCATCTCTGCACTGTCTGAAACCTTGAGAAGAGGCTGCTTGGCACATGAGTGATACAACATACCCCAATGTGATAAGGAAAGGCAGCATGGGGGGCTGTCGTGTCTTGGAGAAAACAAAAATGGGGAAACAGCTTTAGAGCTTTAGTGCATGAACCAAAAATACTTTGGCCAAACATGTA